AAAGAAAGCATGTATCATAAAGATGCTTTTTAAGAACAAATTCCATACAACAGAGTTTCTAAGGATTTACATTGATTCCCCAACAATAAAATAAGTTTAGTTCACCATATTCATGGTGAAACTAGATGAAATACAATGAAAGAATGAAAGAGATAGAAAAACCTGAGAAAGAGAAGAGGAGAGTCGTCACCATCTCCAATTCTACCCCCAAGGGGTGAAAAGTGTGCTTCTGCTTTGTTCCAGCCAAAGATATAAACCCTAGGACATCCTAAAGCTTATATACTATTCTAAAAAATACATAAAATTAGGCCCAAGTCCATAAAAGTGTCGCTCAGCGGTAGTAGCGCGTTTCACTTCTTCCCCTCAGTGCAAGTTTTCCCCTCAGCGGTGCCAACGGGTACTGAAAAGTGTCGCTCAGTGGTAATTGGCGTTGAGCGGTACTTGCTTATTCTCTTCTTTTGCACTTTTTGTGTCCTTTTCGGTCTCCATGTCTTTCCCTTTTCACTTCTTTCATTAATTTCATCTTAAAACCTGCAAAAACAAGGAAATCAAGCATAAAACCTGTCCAACTCTGTTATTTCCAATAATTCAACAAAATCATGAGTTCAATCTAATTTCAAAGTCATAAAGGTTGTAATTGAAGTCAATTTTAAGTATAAAAATAACAGTTTTTCAACTGTTATCACATATGCCGCTTAGTTGTACCAATATCAGTTTTGTCTAGAATCATTTAATATTCATCCATTTTCTTTATTTTTCCGCCTTGACTCTCTACTGGTGCAAAAAATGCAAACATACTAAATTGGGGTGATTTGTACAGAAACTTAAGTAAATCAAAGTAAGATAAGTGTAAAATTCATCTTAAAATTAACTCATTTTGAGTACTTATCAATGGGGTCAGTTAGTGGCATATGGCGTGGGGAAGGACGACGTCAAGGTATCAAAACAATCGATAGAGTAGGGAGGTAGATGAGTGAATCACTCCAGAATGACCCTTTTCAAAGTCGTCGAGAAGGCCTTGCACATAACAACATCGTAAGTCGAGTAGAGACTGACTTTGGTGATTTATACAACAATGTGCTCATCAGGGTTAGTGTTACCATCATAGCAGTATAGGGTGAGGGCATTCAATTTCTTAGGGAGTGAGGTCTTTGTGATGTCATCATTGAAGGGGTGTCGACGAGCTCCTATTGTCACTAAGGAGGCGTTAGTTTCTCCTCAAGTCTTATGACCACTTTCACCCTTATTCTCCTTAATCGTGTGTTAGTGCGATGAGACCTTGTGTATTGAGACAACTTTCTTGGAAATCTTCTTCACCTTTCTCTTATCTTCAGCCTTCACCCTCCTCTTCAGCTCAGCGTTCTTCATCCTTAAGGCTTTATTTACTTGAATGGATTTGGGGTAGAGTGATTGAATGGATTTGAGAGAATTTGAAGGTAAATTTTTTTGTTGTTTATTTGAGTGTATTTGGAGGTGAGTGAGAATGAATTTGAAAGTAAAATTTGTGAGAACTAGTGTAGGATTTGACTGATGTGACAGATTAAAAAAATTTACTTCCAAATTCACTCTCATTTACCTCCAAATCCACTCAAATAAACAACAAAAAAGTTTACCTTCAAATCCTCTCAAATCCCCTCAATCACTCTCCCCAAAATTCATTCAAGTGAACAAAGCCTAAGACATTCATCTCTTCATTGAATATAAGTCAACCCCACAATGGGCGTTAATTATTCTTATAGAGTTGAACGTATATCCTTCAAAGACTCCGAAAGCACTTCAACACTTCAAGCCTTCAACCTTAGAGGTATTCTTCCTCTCCAAACCGAATAGGGGTTGTGTCTACAAAAGTCACTCTGACGTCGTAGTCAGACAAGTGCGTCAACTAACAATAATTGCAGTGGTTAATGAACGTAAATCACATACCTTGTAAAATTTACTCATGGGCCATTATCTAGATGGCCTAGACCATGTTGCTTAACTTGTTAATCAAATACATACAAATAGATACAAATCGAATACATGTCAATTTAACAAGAGTGACATATGTGAAGCCAAAAAGAGGTCCTATTCAAATTAAAAAAAAAAACTATATTTATTCATTTTTAAATTTTAAAGAACAAATCCAAATATAAGAAAACCTAATTTCATATCAAAATTATATAAAAATATTTAACTATTTATTTTTTTTATTGTAAATTTCGTATCATAAACTATCAAAGACAATATAGAAAAACTATATATACATATTTATTTATTTAGTTATCTTTATAAATAAAAAAAATCATCTAAATGTTTATAATAAAATGTTAAGTTATGTTAATTACAACCGTGTAATTTTAATTCCTTAAGTTTTAATTTTCTCAATTAGGTTCTTTAATACTGGAAATGTATAAATATTTAGTCTTTATATATTATAATGGCATAATTTTAGTTTTTATATCAATTTAATATCCAAATAGACAAAATTTCACAACAATACAAATATCTTTAATATAATAATTTATTATCATACTCAATTATATATCTAAAATATTACAATATAATAATTAATTATTATATATTTATAAAATATCATGATATAATAATAAATTATATAACATTTTAAAAATATAATATTTGATTATAAACAAATAAATTTTTCATTATTTTAAATTACATTATGCATAGATAAAAATATAAAAGGTTGAAGAATTTATATTTTACGTGTTTTATTTTATATTTTATCTACACTAATTTTAATTTATAGTTATATTTTTTTCTTAAGTATTCTCATGAAAAGATTTTACTTTCTTTTTCATTGTTTTCACAGAAAAATTGTCTAAACATAATCTAAATCTGTTTCTTCATTCATTAAATTAAAACAAATATCCCAAATAAACAAAAAGTTTTTCTTTTGTTTTTTCAACGTTTTTACAAAAGAAAAAGAAAAAGGAAATTGTCTAAACAAAACCTAGGTTTGTTTTTTAATTGATTAAAATAAATATCCTAATTTTTTTTATATCTTTTATCTTTTATTGATTAAAAGAAATATCCGGGGGGAAAATATATTGAAGCAAAAAAATTCGAGTTGAAATGAAAAAGCATAACCTACCCTTATTCGGTTCTTCGTTTCCACCGTTAACGTACTCTCTTTTCTTTAACCCCAAAACACATTTTATTCATTCACCACCAGACGCACCGATTACGCTCTCTCAATTCAATTCAATTCACTTTCAAACTCTCTTCAGAACTCATCAATTTTCAACTCTCTCTCTCAATTCCCAAACCCAATCCCTTTTGGCAATCTCCTCACGAACCCTAATCAAACGCAAATTCATTGCTGACTACCTCGTTATTCTTCTTTCAGCTCAAGTTCGTGATTTCTGCTTCTGCACTAATTTATACCTTATACCCCTTTCGCGGTTTCTAAAGGTAAGTCCTAAACCCAAATTAGTTTCGTTTTATTATCTTCTTTCCCCACTTTCCTACTCTCTCATGTTTTAAAAGAATGAAGGGGATGTTTGGAAAAATTGCGGGAAGAAAACGTGTTATTCTGTGGTTTGGCTGAGAAGTAAAATAAAATATCGGAATATAAGTGAAAAAGAGTATATGGATTTTGATGGGTGTTAACTTGGTAGGAACCTTTTCTATGCGTACAAGGTGTGTGTTCTTTTTTGTTTTTGTTTTTGAGTGATATGCTTATTAACATTTCCCTTTGGTGTATGCGAATGGCCGCAATTTCATGTGCAATTTAACTTTCGGTGAAATGAATTTAAACTACTTTGCAAAAGAAAAGTGAAACAAGTTTGGTTCTGACAGGGCTCTGACTCTATTGAATCTTGAATCTGGTTCTTCTTATCTTTGTGCATTTGTTTGGTTTGTTGATTTTTCTGTGTGAATGTTTAGCTTTTCGTAGGAATTAAGTTTTGTTTTATTCTAAACCGTTAACTTATTGATTAAAACATTAATGACCGTTAATGACGTTGATCATTGCAAGGAGATTTGACATAACTTTTAATTTTGGAGTAGCCTTCCCAAATGTAACAAGATGAAAGTTACTTTTGAGCTCAACTTGTTTGTCATATTTGTGAAGCTAAATACAATTTCATATTTTATTGAACTTAACAGCCATTGGTTTTCAGGCATCTCATCTTCTACACCCGTGTCTCCATTCCGCTTAGATTTCGTTACACTGTTCCTTTTCAAATTTTCATTAATTTTTGTGTCCATTTTTCTGCTTGTAGACCTCTTTACTGTTTACCCTACTTCCACCGTTCTAAATTTGGTCTGCAATATGTTCAGGGATTTTGCAAAACGAAATGTCAAACAGGGAATGTACTGTGTAATTTTTGTTGGTTATATATAAACTTGCCATTTTTCTAAACAATTTATTTTACAGGTTTATTTGCCATAAACATGGACGAGGATCAAGAGATGGAGAAATTTGGAATGGAGAATGATTATGAGGGTGGTCAATGGATTGGTGGTGAATTCTACTACAAGAGTCGTAAGGAAAAGCGCACTCAGACAAAGGATGATGTTCTTTACGGGGTTTTTGCAGATTCTGATGACGATGATGATTATTCAAGTAGAAAACGGAGGAAGGACCGTGATTTTTCAAAGAAGCAAGATCTAACCAAGCCTGTGAATTTTGTGTCTACTGGAATGTTTATGCCCAATCAGGAAATTGATAATAAGTCCAAAGAGCAAAATGAGAAAGATGGTTATGTTAGTGAGGATAGGCCGGGCTTAGGATCAGGTTTTGGTATGGGGTCTGGTGGCACTTCTGGGACTGGTCTAGGTTTTAATTCTGGCAATACAGCAAATGGTTCAGAAAGAAATGATGATTCTGATGAGAACGGTCATGATAATTTCTTGCCCTCAGCATTCGGGAAGAAGATTAAGGAGGGGGCGATGAGAAGGGAAAGGGAAAGGGAGAAGGAGAGGTTGGAGAAGAAGAGGGGGAAGCATCAGAGTTCAGTTCAAGATGGGTTTAGTGATGTGGGGAAGTTTGAGAAGCATACAAAAGGGATAGGCATGAAGTTGTTGGAGAAGATGGGTTATAAAGGAGGCGGGCTTGGGAAGAATGAGCAGGGTATTGTGGCTCCTATTGAGGCCAGATTGAGGGCCAAGAATTCTGGCATAGGGTTTAATGAGTCTAAGGAGACTTTGCCGTTGCCGGTTTTGCAGCAAGAGAAGAAGAATGTGCTAGAGGTCTCACAACCTGTGGTTAGTAAAACAAAGGAAAGGTTATGGTCAAAGCAAGCAAGGTTGAAGAAAAAGAAGGAGGAAGAGTATGTAACAGCTGAGGAGTTGTTGGCAAGCAAGCAAGAACAAGAGTTTGAGGTTGTTCAGAAGGTATATGATATGAGAGGTCCACATGCTCGAGTAATAAATTTGTCTGATTTGAATGCTGAGGAGAAAGCAAAAGAAAATGATATCCCAATGCCAGAACTTCAGTATAATGTAGCGTTAATAGTTGGGTTGGCTGAGGCTGACATCCAACAGATTGACAGAGATTTGAGGAGAGAGAGGGAAACGGCACTTAGCTTGAAAAAAGAAAAAGAGAAGTTAGAAACTGAGGCAGCGTTCCAGAAGAAGCAGCTGGATAATATGGAGGAAATAAAGCGTGTGTTAGACCATGTTGAAGAAGAAAACACTTTGGGAACATTAACATTGGATTCCCTTGCTCATTGCTTTAGGGATTTACACAAAAGATATGCTGATGACTACAAGTTGTGTAACTTGTCTTGCATTGCTTGTTTTTATGCTCTACCCCTGTTTATCAGAGTGTTCCAAGGTTGGGATCCTCTGCGAAATCCATCTCATGGGTTGGAGTTGGTTTCAGAGTGGAAGGCATTGCTTCGAGAAGAAGATTCAGTTGATATATGGGATGTATCATCACCTTATACCCAATTGGTTTTAGAGGTTGTATTGCCAGCTATAAGAATATCTGGTATAAATACCTGGCAGGCCCGGGATCCTGAACCAATGTTATGGTTTCTGGAATTGTGGGAAAAGTTACTTCCTCAATCAGTCCTTGCCACCATATTAGACAATATAGTTATGCCTAAACTATCAAGTGCTGTGGATACTTGGGAACCACACCGTGAGACCATTCCTATCCACACTTGGGTGCATCCATGGCTACCGCTGCTGGGTCACAAGTTGGAGGGTATTTACCAGGTGATTCGTTTTAAATTGAGTACTGTTCTTGGTGCCTGGCACCCAAGTGATGGATCTGCTTATGCTATATTGTCTCCTTGGAAGTCTGTATTTGATTCTGCTAGTTGGGAACAACTTATGCTTCGTTTTATTGTACCAAAGTTACAGTCTGTCTTGCAAGAGTTCCAAGTGAACCCGGCAAGTCAGAATCTTGATCAATTTTATTGGGTAATGAACTGGGCTTCTGCTATTCCTATTCACCTAATGGTTGATATGATGGAGAAATTCTTCTTTGCTAAATGGCTTCAGGTTCTGTATCATTGGTTGTGCTCAAATCCTAATTTTGAAGAAGTTACAAAATGGTATTTAGGATGGAAGGAACTCATTCCAAAAGAACTGTTAGCAAATGAAAGCATCCGATACCAACTTAATCGCGGTCTTGATATGATGAACCAGGCTGTTGAAGGTATGGAGGTGGTCCAACCTGGTTTAAAGGAGAATATAAGCTATCTTAGGGTACTTGAGCAGAGGCAATTTGAGGCTCAACAGAAAGCAGCAGCTTTTGCTCAACAGCAAGCAGCGGCTAGCTTGGGTGGTGCAGTCAACACAGATGGCACTCATGAATTGAGCTTGAAAGAAGTCATCGAGGCTCATGCTCAGCAACATGGTTTGCTATTCAAGCTTAAACCTGGTAGAATGCACAATGGTCATCAAATATATGGGTTTGGTAATGTCAGCATAATAATAGACTCTCTTAATCAAAAAGTATACGCCCAGAACGAAGAAATGTGGTCTATAGAATCTCTTCAGGGCTTGCTAGAGTTGCATAATAAATCCCTTAGTAAAAGGCGTTGATTTCTGCATTGACCAATGTGAATTATCTGAATTATCAGGTACTCTATCTAGTTTCTTTTTTGAGCTGTATTGTCTTTTGATTACTTCGTAGGATTGGCATGTGTACTTTCTAGTTTTGTTTTGCCACTTTATGTTTGATCATAAGCAGAATGGGTATGTAATATTTAATATATGCTTGCTATGCATATTTTATATGCATTGATATATATTATATGTTAATAATTTTCAATGCAAGGTAAAACCTCTTATGTGAAATTCAGGAATAGCGTGTAGATGTTGGCTTTATTATCTTCTTATTGCACTTGTTTCATCATTTAATTATCAAGTAAACTTGCTGTTATTAATCTTTGAAGGTGTTTAAAAACCATGGTGCGTCTGCTGGTGCATCAATGAATCATTCTCATGGTCGGATGATGGCCCACTAGTTATTCCACCTAGTGTTTCTGTGCGTCTTGCAAGTATGAAAGATCATTTTAATCAGACAGGAGAATGTTTTATTTGTTCAATTCAACATGAGTATCTTTTGGTTGATTCATCTCCAACTTCTTTTCACCGGTTCCTTTTGCTGCTACATTTCCTTGAGATGTGAATTTTTTCTTACTATTGTAGTGCTCACTTCCATGAATTGGATGCTGAAATTGTTTCATTTCATTATTTGTGAAGTTGTGTTACGCCATGTTCAGCATGTTTAGTTTGGTTTCAATAGAATGCATCTGATAGAAGGTGTGAATAAAGGCTTTATATTTGTCGTTTTCTGGGACTTGATGCTAATTTCCACTATGGGGTGATTGCATGTGACAAACATATAGAACAAGTAGATTGAGATGGTGTTAGACTGTCAGTTGCGATAACAGTATTTTTGGAAATGACTTTATTTTCCTTGGCGCTTGGAATAATGAGACAGGACATGGACTGTGCTTAGAAATTATAATTAGACATTGGGAGGCCAAGTTCTTTTTGGAAAGTGTCGTTGTAGGTGTCATAAACATTATCGAGTAGCAAATACTTTTCTTGCATCTTCATGAATGGTAAACTGTGAACTAAAACCTTATACAGTGATTTGCCTTGTATCATACTTGTTAATAGTGAATAATCACACTTACGGAAATTGGGAGGCTAATTTCTATAGCACATAGCATAACACACTCTAACCTCACTTTATATTATGTGTGTGTGTGTGTAACATTATAATTAACAAAAACTCAGCTCCATCTTGATCAAAAGTTTTCAATCATGAAATACATTAAATTATTAAAGACTTAAATCATAAACTGTCCATTTAAACTTTGAAAGAGCTAAGCAGTCTAGGCACTGACATGTAGGGATCTGAAGTGAGAGGCTGAAGCTGAGAAGCAGATTGTGAAACACACAGATACACATATCATCAACGGACTGCTGGCTAAAGTTCCCCGTGTTTCTGACCTGTGAAGGTAAAAGAAATGTGTTAAGATTGATTATCTGATCAGAGCTGGTGGGAAACACTGCGTTCTGCAGAAGTCAGCAGTGGTGCTACAGCATATGAACTCAGAACTTCACGAGTAACTGCAAGAGGATTGTGATATCCTTGTAGGGGATGGACTAACACCTCTTTAGAATGGCGTGTCAGACATTTTTTGGACATGATATGCCTTTGGCAAGTGTCGGACACTTATCTACTTGTTTCAATAAAAAATAATATTTAGTTCGGACACCTCTCCAACATATGCCAAGAAAGTGAGTCGACACCTAACCTTGCCTAAACACATCCTAGACACTACTATAATTTTTTTTAAAAGCCAAGTTATCTTATAAGTAATATTGCGAGGCTCAGCTATTTTTTGGAGGTTCATTATCATATGACTTGTTTTAACTTCTTAGAATATTATTCATCTTGTTGGGATTATGAAATGATCATAGTATTATGAAGCTTAACTTTGTCTTTAGAACGTGAGTGTATATAAATCTTGAATCTTGATTCTCATGCTGCATTTTATATTTTGGACTTTAGTCTGGTGTCTGTATTGGACATAAGTAATGCATTAGGGCATAACAGACATTAGAATTCTGAGAAATTATTATAATATATTTATATAGTACAGATTGACAATTCTTGTAGTAAGCTCATAGATGGCTTAAGCTGTGCCGTGCACATCGTGGATTTTCCTATGCTATGGGTTTAGCATAACACTGATCCTCCTTGTATTGCTGTAATCTGCTCTTATGTCACTTCATTATCAACCATGCAAACATGTGCTATTGTGTCCTTTATTTGCGTTTCTTGTTTTCAAAGGTTAATCACTATTTATTGACGATTATTTTGCAGGTAGTTGAACACGGAGGTTTACTGAAACTAATGCTCAGGAAGATGTCTTCGCAGTTGAACAATCCACCATTCAGCTATATGATTCATCCCCTTCCACTTCATGGTAATGGGTCAGAATGAGCATTCACTCGTTGCTTTATAATTCTAATACCTCTACTAACTGGGATTGCGGATTTTGAGCTGGGAACGGGTGTTACATAAATCACGTGTTTCCCGAGGGCGCAGCAAAGGTTCTAATGTAAGTGAAAGGGGTAGTTCCAGTGAGGATAAAGCGTGTGTTGGTAACCTAATTTCTTTTATTCACATGTATGAGGGTCAAGCATTTTTGTTACAGTTTTTGTACTCTGAGCCTCCTAGTAAGGGAGTTTTGGTTCTCACATAGCATTAATCTTAGTCCTGAAATCATGAGGTATTGGAAAACTTAAACAAACTATTCATGGTGTACTAGATTCATAGGGAAGACGATAATGCAGAAAGAGTAAAGGTAACTATTTTTTTACAATGTCTTGATGTTTTGGTAAGCTGTCTTTTTACCCGGCTTATACATTAAGAGACTAATTCAGGGTAGTTAGATTTATACTACTTTAACATTATTCTAGATGATCTAAAGTTAATTAAGACATGTGTACTAAAAGCGTGTTTTGTTTACTGTGCATCATATTTTGTAAAGTCACGTTTAAATATTATTTAACGTAATTTTGTATAATTTTTCATCTATGGATGTTAGAGATGAACCCAATTGCAATATACCCCCATTTAGGGTATATTGCAACACATGTTACAATAGAAAATAATAAACGTCAAATCTACGAGTCTTTTGATGCCACATGATTGTTGAGTTAGCATGATGATCAAAGCAAAATGGACTTTTGCATGCAACTAAGCAATTTTTTGATTTCCAGTGCATACAATCAATTAACTCTAACATACCTGAAAAACTATGAACTGCTTCCACGTGTAGTAGTTGGTTGATGATGTCTTTGTTGTTGGTCTCCTTAGGAAAACATCGAAAGAAAAGAAAATAGATTAAAATATCAAATCGTACACCAATAACTTCTCTTACTAACAAAAACATCGAAAGAAAAGAAAATAGATTAAAACCTTAATAGAAAGTGGACTACTTCGCCAAATTAAGAATCTATCAATTCAACATAATCTTCGTATAACTTATTTATAGACTTTCTATTTTTTTATCACTATTAAAAGATTCAGTGTTGTAGTTAATTGGTGCAAATATTGTTCTTAAATTTATATTGTTTCATTCATCCATTGATTCTTGTTTTCAACGTATTAATACAACATTAAATTAATAAAATATTTTTAAATAAAATAATTTGATTTTTTTTTAAAATCAGTTTTCTTAATTTTACATGTTTTCTATTTTAATTTAATTTATGAATGAAATCCTTTTGATTAGCAACATATTGAAATTTCAAATTCATTGTTGTATTTTAAAATACTAATCCACATGTCTTTTGTCTTTCCTTATCAATAAATAAGTTCATATCTTATCCTTTCATAATATCACAGTAAAGTAAATCTTTTATTGAGAAAAATTTAGTTTATTTCAAACACTTCAAAAAACTTAAAAACTACAAATATTATAATACTAGTGTAGAAGTAGATTTTCCCGTCAATTTTAGGCTCAAAATATGTTACATAAAGGTCAAACATGATGCGAAAGATCAAAACATAAAGTTCATTCACGTCGAACTTTTTAAATGATGTAAAAAGATGTCAGATAATATCAACAATAGACGTAAATAATAATAGGTGTTTTTACGTAATATATATATGAATATCCAAAAAGGGGCAAAGTGCCAACTTATCGAATATGGTCAAATTTAATGTATATTTCTGTCAAATATAATCAAATTCAACGTAAATTTATGTCAATTATAATCATATTTAACATATATTTACATTAATTATATATATAATTGAGGTACAAAGGGGTTAAAAAATTGTTATTGGTTCGATCTCAAGTAAATTGTGATAATATCGTTAGAATCAATAATAGTATTTGAAGTATTATCTACTTTGAAGCCTACAATCTTTTTGTCAATTTATTCTCAAAATATTTATTAGAGGATTGAAAAGAGAAAATATATTTAAATTATTCTTAGTCTTGACTTTTAAACAATTTGATGTTGTTGGAACAAGCCTCCTAATCAGTTAGAGAGTTTTAAAGTGACAAATTGACATAAAGTCATCGTCACAAAGAAAAACAAGTTATTAAAATTAAATAGGCATTATTGTAGAAAAGACGTATCATAATGGTAAAAAAAAAATATTTCTACTAAAATATCCTCATTGTCATTAAACATTTCACGAAAATCACAATGGTTTGAACATCATTGTGATGGTTGAAAACCATGATGGTGCTATACACCATTGTTAAATGGATAAATTATATAAAAACTAATTAAAATTTGGAATTAAGCTATCATGATGGTTATTTTCTTAATCGTAATGATCTTGCAATCTCAATTTAAAGAATTTGGTGCTTGAAAGTCAATATCACAACGGTTTGTGTCATAACTATCATGAAAGTTTTTTTTTTAAAATAACCTATTTACAATTTTGTTTTTACCAAAAAATTGTAAAGAAAGTTTCTAGAAATTAAGTTAGTTCAAACATGTATAATAATATAACATAGAGAAGGCTTTGAATATATCTTAAAGATAAATATCTAATTTTTGAACAAAGTTCTTAAATATTTAAAACTATTAAACTAAATCTAACTATCAACTTCTAAATTCTTATATCTAGAAAGAAAATATACTTTGTCCAGTTTTCTAAATATATGATAATGCTTTTGAATTTATTGGTTATTTGTCAACAAAGTTCTTCAAAAGTAAAGTTAAAATTAGTACACTATATACCCTTAGCCATATTTATCTTAATTAGATCACTTTATAAATTTAACTAATAAAATATAATGGTCCTAACACACACACACTATATATATATATATATATATATATATATACATCCTTACAAATGTGTTACACTTTAGAACTCAAAAATGTCATTATATACCTTGAGTATATCCCAAAGTCTCATCCATTGATTATATCCGCATGTAGAACCAAAGCAGTTTTAATTGCAACAACCGCAACCAAACCCGATAGTGACCACTAATGCTAACACAACCAAAAGACATAGATTCATCATGAAATGTGTAGCATGAAAAGTTACATGAAGGTGATCTATACACAACTATTTTCAACTAGTCATAACTTTATCTCAATGAGATCAATACAATAACCTTAATGTACAAAGTGTAATTTATGAATAATAAACCAGAATGTATGCATACATGAAAAACAAATATAGAACACACACAAAGATTATTAACTCCCATTGAACCAAATATTCCTCAAACTGTGAAACACTCATATAAGAAATATGCTCATAAAAGACCTTGGGTGTAATAGCCTTATTAAGAGGATATATATCATTAAGGAGTTTGTTCCTAAGTGTTCTATGGAAATCCATCCACTCTGTACTCTTTCTTTAAGAACTAATTTGGTGTCACAACCTGATTGGTCTTTCAATTCCTTTCATAATACGCAATCTTGTGACAAAAATCAACCATATACTCTGATTTGATGCTTTATAAGATGCTACAAATTCTGCAATCATAGTGGATAAAACTATAAGGGTTTGCTTGGTATTGAGCCAAGAAACCACACCACTAGTTAGCATGAAAATGTAACTTGAAGTGGATCTTAAACTAACTTGGCATCCTGTAAAATTGTCAGAATACTTAATGATCTCTAACCGCTCTAACTCTATATACGTGAGCTTATACACCTTTGTTCTCTTGAAAAAACCTCATAAATTTATTGGTTGCTTTCCAAAGATCCATTCATTAATTGCTTAAATATCTGCCTAAAACCCCAATTATATATGTTATATCTAGATGCGTACATACTTGGACATACATCAAACCCGTTATCACTGAAACATAGGGAATCTTCCGCATTTCTTGAATTTCTTAATTTCCTTTGGACATTGATTGAGACTAAACTTGTCTCCCTTAGCAACTACAAAATCCCCTAATTTATTATCCTTCATGATAAAAGCTCTATGGATGTCATCAACATACAAACCCTCTCCTTTTGAGTATAATCCTTCGTCACAAGACAAACTTTATACATTTCCAAATTACCATTAGAATCTCTTTTGGTCTTAAGTATTCACTTATTTCCAATGGGGTCCATACCTTCTGGTAACGGCACAAGTTATTATCAAACTTTATTGTCTTGCATAGACTTATACTCCTCGTGAAGCACATGTTTTTGAGGATCTTGAGTTTGTTCTTATAGAGGTTCTAAACTTACTAGAGGTTTTGAACTTTACGAATCAGATCACTTCCAACAATTCTTCCTCTAAACTTTTTTCTTCCCCCAAACTTAATATCCTCAAAGAATATTATGCTTAATATCATGCAATTCCATATTTAAGGATTTATAATAGGAAGTCACCGTTTGAAGAATATATAGATTATCATTTGCCAAAAGTGAATAGGTTTCAAAAAAACTTGAATAAACAAATTTGAATTTATTATTTCCAAACAAATATAAATAACAAAATTTGTCCAAATAAACAAATGAAATCAAATTTCGCCTAAATGACGGTACAATGAAATGTCTTTCAAAACCAAAATTTAGAAAAGCAGTACAAAATAATAATCTAAAACATTTTATCACTTCCATCACTACAAATTTGACATCTCTAAATAGATTCATCTTTTAGAATCAATTGTCTTCCGATAGCTTAGGCAACCCTTTCTTTGCACACCGAGCATGATATTTTGTACATTCCTTCTTCATGTGTCCAACTTTATTGCAAAAGAAACATTTAACAGATTGGTTTTGTTTCTTTTGTGATGGACCTTTAGAAGCATCACTATCAGGATTATCAATTTTCTTCTTTTTGCCCTTGTCATTAAAGGTAATAGTTAAGTGAGCACTTTCAGTCCTTTCTTGCTTCAGTCTCTCCTCTTCTTGAACACAATATGAAATGAGCTCATTAAGAGACCATTTCTCCTTCTGACATTTCAATGAAACCTTATATTTTTCAAACTCTATAAGAAGAGAGATTAAAATAAAATGTACAAGTAAGTCTTCCTACAACTCAAGTTTCAACAACTTAAGTTTCAAAGCAATGTTTGAAATCTCCATAATGTACTCTCTCACATTTTCTTTGCCTTGATACCTCATGGAAGCAAAGCTTTGAAGAAGTACACTTGCTTTTTCTTTTCACAAAGCGCTTTTTACAAAGCGTTTTTCAATCTCAATAAGGAAATATTTTGCATTTGTAATTTCTTCAGATATAGTACCTCTATATACCTTTGGAATGTCGTGCTTAATGACCATCAAACACATGCGATTTGAGCGATCCCACTTCTCATATTCTCTCCTCTCATCAGAGGTACTTGAGTTTTTAAGAGAAGGAGGTTTCTATATCCTCAACACGAGGTCAAGATCCATG